GAATGGGTCCTTGTTTAAAGAATACTTCATCTATTTCCCTTCTTTCATTCATAAACATATCATTCTCATGGTCTAGCAAATATTGTTCTAAAGGATCATTAGGAGGCACAGCAATAGAAGCAAGACCAATAATTTCATCTTTGCTAGGCAATTCTTCATCACGGGGTTGTCTACGAAATTTAGAAAAATTAAACTCATGAGACATATCATCCAAACCAGTAGTAACAACATCCTTCTTGCAATCTAGCTTAGCATTAACAGTATTCAAGAAGGGTCTACCAAATATAATGGGACAAAAGCTATCTTGAGGGGAACCAACAACAAGAAAATCAGCAGGATATTTAACTTTCCCACACAAGACTTCAACATCTCTAACAATCCCAACTGGTGAAATAGTGTCTCTATTGGCAAGCTTAATTGTGACATCAATCTCTTCTGTCTCAGCAGGTGCAATATCATGCATAATTTCTTTGTATAAGGAATGAGGTATTGCACTTGCACTAGCAGCCATATCACATAAGCAATGATAGCAATGATCTCCTATTTTAACAGAAATAACAGGCATGCCTGCAACATGTCTATGTTTATTTTTAGTATCGAGCCTAGCAATTCTAGCAGTTTCTTCATAGAAATAAATAACATGCCCATCAATATTATCAGCCAAGAGATCTTTAACTATAGGGGGTTTGTGTGTCCTAATATTAATTTTGTTGAATATAGTTGAAGCTTTAGCATGATCCTTTATTCTAATAGGGAAAGGTGGTTTCTCAACATAAGCAGTAGGAACTATAGGATCATTATAAGTGATAGTTTTTTCCTTCAACTTTAATAGGTGCAACTAATTTTACTTCAACGGGAGGATTATATTTAAACCACTTCTCCTTAGGGAGATCAACATGAGTATCAAAGGATTCACAGAAAGAAGCTACTATCTCAGAGTCAAGTCCATATTTAGTGCTAAATTTACAGAAAACATTGGTATCCATAAAAGATTTAGCGCAATCAAACTTAGGTATTATACCTGACTCCTTACCTTCGTTGAGATCCCAATCTTCAGAGTTGTGTTTAATTCTCTCCAATAAATTCCATTTGAATTCAATAGTCTTCATCATAAAGGAACCAGTACAAGAAGTATCGAGCATGGAGCGATTGTTGTCAGAAAGCCGAGCATAAATTTTTTGAATAATCATTTCTCTTGACAGCTCATGATTGGGGCATGAATATAACATTTACTTAAGCCTCCCCCAAGCTTGAGCGATGCTTTCTCCTTCGCAAGTCCAAAAATTATATATATAATTACGATCACGATGAACAAGATGCATAGGATAAAACTTCTGATGGAATTCCACTTTCAACTGTTTGTAGTCCCATGATCTCATATCATCACATAGCCTATACCATGTCAATGCATCTCCCTTCAAAGATAAAGGGAAGACCTTCTTCTTGATAACATCATCGGGCATACCTGCAAGCTTAAATAATCCACAAACTTCATCCACATAGATTAAGTGTAAGTCGGGATGTAATGTTCCATCTCCTGCAAAAGGATTAGCTAGCAGTTTCTCTATCATACCCGAAGGAATTTCGAAGTAAACTTTTTCATTTGGTTTAGTATGTTGAGGAGCAACTATTTTCTCTACCGGTCGGGTTGAAGATACCCCGAACAAGCCCATCAAAGGATTACTTTCCATAGTAACAAGTGACAGTAAATTTCAGCACACTATATAAATTTTTTCTTACCAAATTCCACCTACCAAAGGCGCTTCACTCCCCGGCAATGGCACCAGAAAAGAGTCTTGATGACCCACAAGTATAGGGGATCTATCGTAGTCCTTTCGATAAGTAAGAGTGTCGAACCCAACGAGGAGCAGAAGGAAATGATAAGCGGTTTTCAGCAAGGTATTCTCTGCAAGCACTGAAATTATCGGTAACAGATACTTTTGTGATAAGGTAATTTGTAACGAGTAGCAAGTAATAAAAGTAAATAAGGTGCAGAAAGATGGTCCAATCTGTTTTGTAGCAAAGGACAAGCCTGGACAAACTTTTATATGAAGGAAAGCGCTCCCGAGGACACATGGGAATTATCGTCAAGCTAGTTTTCATCATGTTCATATGATTCGCGTTCGGTACTTTGATAATTTGATATGTGGGTGGACCGGTGCTTGGGTACTGTCCTTACTTGGACAAGCATCCCGCTAATGATTAACCCCTATTGCAAGCATCCGCAACTACAACAGAAGTATTAAGGTAAACCTAACCATAGCATGAAACATATGGATCCAAATCAGCCCCTTACGAAGCAACGCATAAACTAGGGTTTATGCTTCTGTCACTCTAGCAACCCATCATCTACTTATTACTTCCCAATGCCTCCCTCTAGGCCCAAACAATGGTGAAGTTTCATGTAGTAGACGTTCACATGACACCACTAGAGGGATGACAACATACATCTCATCAAAATATCGAACGAATACCAAATTCACATGAGTACTAATACCAAATCATCTACTTATTACCATGTCCTCAGGAACAAACATAACTACTCACAAAGCATATTCATGTTCATAATCAGAGGGGTATTAATATGCATAATGGATCTGAACATATGATCTTCCACCAAGTAAACCAACTTGCATCAACTACATGGAGTAATCAACACTACTAGCAACCCACAGGTACCAATCTGAGATTTGGATACAAAGATTGGATACAAGAGATGAACTAGGGTTTGAGATGAGATGGTGCTGGTGAAGATGTTGATGGAGATTGACCCCCTCCCGATGAGAGGATCGTTGGTGATGACGATGGTGATGAATTTCCCCCTTCCGGAGGGAAGTTTCCCGGGCAGAACAGCTCCGCCTGAGCCCTAGATTGGTTCCGCCAAGGTTCCGCCTCGTGGCGGCGGAGTTTCGTCCCGAAATCTTGTTTATGATTTTTTTCCTCGATGAAAGACTCCATATAGCAGAAGATGGGCATCGGAGGGCCACCAGGGGGCCCACGAGGCAGGGGGCGCGCCCAGGGGGTAGGGCACGCCCCCCACCCTCGTGGCTGGTGGGTGGCCCCCCTCTGGTACTTCTTGCGCTCAGTATTTTTTATATAATCTTGAAATAACTTCCGTGAAGTTTCAGGACTTTCGGAGCTGTGCAGAATAGGTCTCTAATATTTGTTCCTTTTCAAGCCCAGAATTCCAGCTGTCGGCATTCTCCCTCTTTATGTAAACCTTTTAAAATAAGAAAGAATGGGCATAAGTATTGTGACATAATGTGTAATAACATCCCATAATGCAATAAATATCGATATAAAAGCATGATGCAAAATGGATGTATCATTATTTTATTTTTGAACTTCTTGTTTCCATTCTTTAATAACGTGGAAAATCTGAGTTTTCTATAATCATCGAACTTCTCCATATTTTTAATATGGACTTCCTAGTTTTATTTCTTAATCTTTTTTATGAAATTTTGAAGTGTTATATCTTTAAAAGTTGAACTTCTTATTTTTTTTATTTTTGAATTTCTTGTTTCCATTCTTTAATAGCGAGGAAAATCTAAGTTTTCTATAATCATGAAACTTCTTCATCTTTTTAATATGGACTTCCTGGTTTTGTTTCTTAATATTTTTTACGAAATTTTGAAGCGCTCTATTATTAAAATTTGAACTTCTTGTTATTTAATTTTTGAACTTCTTATTGCCATTCTTTAATAGCGAGGAAAATCTGAGTTTTCTTTAATAACAATAATTTTTGACTTCCGAGGGAAGAGCACTTAAACTTTGCCTTTTTTATTCTTTTTTTCTCATACGAAAAGCACAGAATGCAATATGTGAACTTCTGATAGTTATCAATTTGGACTTCTCTGTGTTTCGATTTAAAAAACGAGAAAATTCTTTTAAGACTTTTTTGATTTTCCTTTTTTATTTTAACTTCTTCATTTTATTATTTAGTAACGACAAAACATCTAAGTTTTTTTACCTTCGATTTTTTTTACTGAACTTCTTAGAAAAATATGGTTTTACATAAGCAAACAATTTTCTAGGTTTTTAAATTTGAACTTCTAGTTTTTTTACCTTCTCAGTTATTTGAAATTGAACTTCTAGGGTTGTCAAATTTGAACTTCTACATTTTTTGACCTCTCAGTTATTTCAAATTTTCTAGTTTTTTTAATCCAGTTTTTATAAACTTTTTTGGGACTGCTCTGTTATTTTGAGTTGGCCTTCTCTCTTATTTTTTTAAAACAAGGAAAATCTAACTTTTATAAAATTTGTTTATTTTTTAAAAAACAAGAAAAGTACAAAAGTTTTAATGAGCATCAAACTGATCTGTTCTTTTAATTTGACCTTCTTGGTTTTACTTTTTAGAAATAGGAAAAATCTCCACAGCGTTGATGCATTTTGGAGATAAACTTGGGAGAAACCAACCTGTGAAACTGAAACCAGTCGATGAACAAACCAGTTTTTTGCACCTGGAGATACAACTGAACATGCCCACTAGCTAGTACTCTATATCTGCATCACACACACACAATCACACTTTCAGTGTTATCTTCTTATTTTTTGATCTAATTCTGCACATGCCACAGAACTCTTATTCAAATACATTTTTGTTATAGTTTTCGTGTTTTTTTATCCAGTCTATTATCTTTGAACTTCAGCTATTTTTGTATCTGACTGTTATCTATGAACTTCAGTTGTTTTTCTATCCGACCTGCCACACATTCTATTTTATAGGAACTCATCCAAATTCATTTTTATATCAAAGCAAATGCCCTGTTGAACATACAGTGACATTCTTGCAAAGTGCATCCAAGTTCAGACGAGAAGAAAAAACATTCAGAAGATCAATATTACTTATTCTGCGGGAAGTGGCAAGTTGTATAGTACCAAGATCACATTACGCATACAGATACCAAGCCTAGTGATTGACATACAAACTGCAGAGCTAATGGCTTTGGGCAGGCCATGACTGCGCACGAACATACACCAAGGGAACACCTCCCTCTCACTTATTTCTGGTCGTACCTCCCCTGCTCGACCCGGTGCTTGAACTTGTCCTTGTCATCGCCGGACTCGCCGAGCACCACCTCCTTGGTCTCCTGCACCGTCTCCTTTGTGCCCTCGGCGACGTCGTCGGTCTTCTCCTTGGCCATCTTCAGGAACTCCTCCGTCGTTGTCCTTGCCTTCTCTCCGATTTCGCCCAGCATGCCATTGTCATCGTGTTTCTCGATCGAGTGGTGCTCAAGATGGCAACGGGGACGAAACCCATCGGGTTTTGTTTGCCCAAACCCATCCCCATGAGAAAATCGCAAACTCATCCCCGTCCCCATCAACAAGCGCGGGGTTAAATTTTTGCCCGTCCCCTAAACCCATCGGGTTTTCAAAACCCACGGGGAGCCCGTCCCCACGAGCAGTCAATGAAAACAGCAACATTTGGAAGAAAAACAGGAGCATATTACAGTAGCAGGCGATGGCTGGAGGACCTAGGTTTAGGTTTACGTGCCGTGTTGTGCGGGAGAGAGAGTCCTAAAGAGCGAGAAACACTGCAGCGACCGAGTAAGGGGTTGGTTTGTACTCCAGGGCCTCAATGTTGTGGGGCTCGGCTCCTCGTGCACTGTGGCTTTGGGCCACTTGAGTCAAGATGGATCGGTGCATGCTAAATAATGTATTTTGACGGGTTTTGTTGGGTTTCGGGTTCAGGTAGTACTCAAACGGGTTTAAACCCGTGAAACATGTCGGGTTTAATAATGTACCCACGAGCAGCCCCGCGGGGATAGAAAGTCGCCCATCCTCGTCCCCTAATAGGGTAAAAACCTACGGGGACGCGGGTTTCGGGGCCCCATTGCCATCTTGAACTGGTGCTGGCAAGACCAAGCGAAAAGAGAAGGTTGTAAAACACACTATCAAATGTACTACTAGAGATCAATTTCAGCAGTACATGATTACGTATGTAACTCTGTAGTATGTACACTGGACTAATAGCATCATCACAATATCCATAGTTGTGTTGCTACATCCAAAGATAGCTACATCACCTAACTTCATCCAAAAAGTACAGGGAGCAGCAGCAGTTTGTAGGAGGCCAGGGGGTCGGGCAGGTCGCTAGTGGTGGCGCACTGGCGTATGCAGGCGGATGCGGGATGGCGGACTCAGACGCCTCAGGGGTCAATGCCAGTGCTGGGATTGGGCGGAGTTGGGCGAGCCACATCGCCACCACAAACGAACACAGTGACGCCATGACAGACCTCTGCTAGCCTTCTTCCTCGGATCATGCCGCCAACCTTCTTCCTTGTCACCATGGCAAACCTCCGTTGTAGCCCCGAGCTCCGCCCTCTCCCCATCTCCACCAAAGCAGCAGATCTCTCCGGCCTCCAGTTGACGTCGCGATGGCAGTTGGACGTGTGGTTGGCTGTGGTAGAGGGGGAAGAAGCACAGAGGAGAGGGTCTGGCGCGGCGGTTGGAACGATGGTTGGGGCCCTGACTGCGGCGGCAGGATCCGGCGGTAGGATCCCTAGCAGCGGCGGCAGGAACTGGTGGTTGGGAAGGAAAATCTCTTGAGTGGGATGGGGGCGCCCGGTTGCCAGCGAGCGCGCTGGCGAGGCAACGACTCCGGTGGCCGGCGAACGTGCCGGCGAGGAGGCGGCACCTGTTGCCCGCGATGTAACGGGATCCTCCGCCCACGCTGGTTCGGTGAGGGTGGGTGGGGATTGGGGACAGGGTGGCTGGCGGGAGGTGCGGGAGCTGGTGGGATCGGGATCGGGGGAGGTGGGGTGGGCTTTTTCCCCATCTTTTTCTATGGTTGCCCAGTTTGGGAGTTTGGGAACAGCCTCATCGGGCCTGTATAGGGGCTGTGATCCAAATAGTTATTCTGATCCCACGATTAGAATAGTGCTACCACATATATATATATATATTATGAATTCCATTGTCTATTTGTTTTATACTAATTCGAATCTAGCTGTTATCATCCACATATACAGAATGGAAAGCGTATATACACACATTGAAACAGAACATATAAGAACGGAAAACAGAGTACACATATTGAAATAGAAGAATAAATAGAGCAATACTATGATGGCTATGAATACATAGCTATCCACGTCGAAACAACTCAACAAAATAAAACGCGTCCATGAGACCATGACCAGCAGCCCTTGCCTACGGTAGCTCTTGGCTCTGCCTGAACTCGTGCAGGTGTTCGTCCAAGCGGTCGACACGCTCGCGGTATATCTAGAGCGTGATCTCGAGCTCCAAGTTGGTTATTTCATCGGAGATCACCAGCTCGAAGATGTGACGGCCATGTTCCTCTACTACGCCTAGGTGGACACCTGGGCCAAGGAGGCGGTCGAGCCTACAGACCAGCACGTTGGCATCCAGCGGGCCGCGACAAGGCGAACGGCGCGGCGGGCGTCCGGTGCCACTACGGCGCGGCCGGCCTCTGGTGCAAGTACGGCGCTGAGGGCCTCTGCCCACTCCTGGCGAGGAATGGGGGTACTGACGGGACGTGTACCTAGCTGCGACGCTGTGTCGACAGTAGGCAAGCGCTGATGGTTCCGCTCTTGCTCTATGACGCGCCGCGCCTCTTGTTCTGCGGCGCTCCAACTGTCTCGTCGTGCGGTGAGCCGCAACTTATCAGCACGGACGCGCCTAGCTTGCTCTGCGGCGCACCATCGATCATGTTGTGCGGCGAGCTACAGCCTGTCGGCGCTAACATGCCTATCTTGATCCGTGGCACTCAAGCGTCATGCGCCAAAGGTCTGCTCAACCCTGGCAATGGCGCGCATCACGGTGTCATCCATCGCGTTGTCGGGGAGCGCCTTGGCCTCGACGGGCCATGGCGCCTGCTCATTTTCCTTGTCGACGAGGTTGACGGCAGAGGTGACATTTTGGTGGGTTGGCATGCTTGGAAAAGGTGGATGTGCTACAGGCTGCGCTTGTCGCCTCCGTGTGTCGCGCGCCGCCTAGGTTTATGCGCAATATCACTGGGTGGCGGGAAACATGTGAGGAAATGGCAGGAAATTGTGGCGTATTCATAAAACGCCATCAATTAATGGAAAATTAGCATAGAAGGAACGTCGAGCTAGCACAAGAAGTAGATGATGATCAGATGAACATGGACCACACTAGGGAACCCGTCGGTGATGAATTCATCAATCGCAAACGGTTGAATACTAGCAAGTGTTTCCCACAACACACATGGCTTATTCCATCACAAATAGGTCGGATGGATCAACTGTATGCCACGTATCATACATTGGCAAAAAGTAATGCGGTAGACCTTTTTAACATGTGTTAAAAAATAAAAAATAAAAAACAAGAACCTCGAGGTTAAATTAACTCATGGGATGGGTCGTATCAGTCATTTAATTTGACAAATACGACCCAGCCTATCAGTTAATTTAACATCAACAGAACTTCCCATCCAGTCATCCATCTGATGGCTGCTCCAGCCTGAGCACACTTTTTTGAGAGTTCTCTTACATGAGCTACTAGTGGAACAGCTAGTCCTTGCTGATATAGGATGCCTCTTCGCATCCTTATGGCGTATCCGGATGACCGCACGTCCCCCAATGGCCAATAGATGTTGTGTAGACAGAGCATATCACATACGTCTTATTAGAAGCAATTGTATGTGCTATTATCGGTCTTCGCACACATTTCTAATTATAGACCTGTTTGCCGCGTATCACACACATCTTGTTAAGTTGAACCGTTTCTGTTCCCATGCCTCAACGCAAACAGTTTATCCGAGTGAATCGTATGTTGTACAAAGCACACACCTTCATCTGACCGACCATTTCTTTTGTGTTGCCTAATCACAAACAGTTCGTCCGATTGAACCGTATGTTGTACATCGCACACATCTTCATCTGTCTACCCGTTTCTTTTGTTCCTCCTCATCGCAAATGGTTGATTGAATTGAATCATATGCTCTACATCACACATGCAACTAAAATCTGAACCATGTTTGATGCATCCTCGATCGCAAACGTTTTGCACCTTTTTTGACGATTTTTACACCACTGTTTGCGATTATGGCATCACACACAGTTTCGTCGAAGGGTCTCTGATCGTAGTGTCGCATTAGTAGCATCCTGCAGTAGTGATATAACATCTACGCATAGACCTGGCTCCGATGCCACTATTGGGGAACACAGTGTTTCAAAAAAATTCCTATGATCACGCAAGATCTATCTAGGAGATGCATAGCAACGAGAGGGGAGAGTGTGTCCACATACCCTCGTAGACCGAAAGCGGAAGCGTTTAGTAACGCGGTTTATGTAGTCGAACGTCTTCGCGATTCAACCGATCCAAGCACCGAACGTATGGCACCTCCGCGTTCAGCACACGTTCAGCTCAATGACGTCCCTCTATCTCTTGATCCAGTTGAGGATGAGGGAGAGTTCCGACAGGATGACGGCGTGGTGACAGTGATGATGAAGTTACGGCCGCAGGGCTTCGCCTAAGCACTACGACGATATGACCGAGGTGTGTAACTATGGAGGGGGGCACCGCACACGGTTAAGAGAAACTTGTGTGTTCTAGGGTGCCCCCTGCCCCCGTATATAAAGAAGGGGAGGGGGAGGTCGGCCGGACCCTGTAGGGCGCGCCAGGAGAGGGAAGTCCTACTAGGACTCCAAGTCCTAGTAGGATTCCACCTGGAGGAAGGGGGAAGAAGGAAGGGGGAGGGCAAGGAAAGGAAAGGGGGCGCCGCCTTTCCCTAGTCAAATTCAGACCCAAGGAGGGGGCCGCATGGCCAGCCCCTTGTGGCCCTTCTCTCTCCCAACTAAGGCCCATGAAGGCCCATTAGTTCCCCCGGGGGGATTCTGATAACCCTCCAGCACTCCGATAATTATCCGGTACCTCTCGAAACACATCCGGTGTCCGAATAACAACGTCCAATATATCAATATTTATGTGCCGACCGTTTCAAGACTCCTCGTCATGTCCATGATCTCATCCGGAACTCCGAACAAATTTCGTCATCAAATCACATAACTCATAATACAAATCGTCATCGAACGTTAAGCGTGCGGACCCTACGGGTTCGAGAACTATGTAGACATGACCGAGACACATCTCTGGTCAATAACCAATAGCGGAACCTGGATGCTCATATTAGCTCCTACATATTCTATGAATATCTTTATATGTCTAACCGCATAAGAACATACGTTGTTCCCTTTGTCATCGGTATATTACATGCCCGAGATTAGATCGTTGGTATCATCATACCTAGTTCAATCTCATTACCGGCAAGTCTCTTTACTCATTCCGTAATGCATCATCCCGTGACTAACTCATTAGTCACATTGCTTGCAAGGCT